AATGACTCTTTCAGAGTCCACAGAATGATGCCTGGGGCTTATTCAAAATAATCAGGAAGGGGTCACCTGCTGTTCATCACGCCTGGGACTCCACAGTAAGAACTGTGGACTAGTCAGAGCACTAGAATGGAGTCCGTGTCTGTATGTGTTAAAAGTTCATCAGAATAAACAGTGGGAAACTAGCAACATTTAACAAACGAAGGCCGAGTTAAGAACAGGGCGTTCACGGCATGTTGTTATGTGGACACAAACCAAACTCACAAGAATGTAAGCAGGGGTTGTTGGGCTTGGCTGTATAAATCTGCAATGGCAGCACTGGAGAGGTTGAAGCAGGAGGATTGCAATTTTGAGGCTAGCCTGCATTTTCTCAAGACCCTGCCTCAAAAAAACCAAAAATAAAAATAGCAGAAAGTTCACTTACACAATAAAACTTACAGATTAAAGACAACATAATCCTTGTGTAAGCAATGAAAATGTATTTTATTTCTTTTTAATAATTACCTTTTGCTTGTCTGTTGTTTGGTTGGCTTCACTAGGGTCTGTCTACACATCCCAAGTTGACCTCAAATTTGCTTTGTAGCCACAGAACTGGGTTCATAATCCTCCTGCCTTAGCCTTCCAAGTACTGAGATTATAGATATGCGCCACCACACCACACTAACACCTACTCCACATCTTTAGTCCAGGAGAAAAGACACATGGGGCTCAAACCGGAAACTAACATCCCCACGGGCCGGAGACGGACCAAGGGCAAGAGGCCTGGTCTGAGCTCTGGAAACAAGCAGAGCAGCCAGCCCGTCCACCACAGGGCAGTGGTAAACGCGCAGGCAGGCAGGCAGCAGATGGCAGGCTGGTGTGTGGGGCAGGGGCTGGGCCTGCTGGAGTACTCGCCTATCCCGGCTCCCTCCACAGAGACTCCACAGGACACCTCCTTCTCTGTTACCCCCTGGGTCTCCAGTACCCTCTTGGGATGTTAAAAGTTTCCAGTCACTGTAGATGAGTCTTGTTCCTGTAACAGGGTCGGTCAGCTTCTGCTCTGCAGAGACCCCCGTCCCCTGTTTAAAGTGTGCAGTAAGAGGACAGTCTGGTGTGGGCACAGATGCCGAACTGATGAGAGTGACTTCTTTGGGGGAGGAGGGGAAGGGAGAACACAGAATCCATACAATCTTAGTGACAAGGAAGCTAGAATTTATAATTGCCCCAAATGAGAGGCAAGCAGGCTCGTATGGCAGGTAAGAACTTCCTCAAACACAGAGGCGGGGCACTACTCACATCACCTTAGCCCCAACTTCACGTACAGGGGAACACGGCTTGGGGGCTAAGGGACCCCCCTGCACCACAGCATTCCTCAGCGGCTGAGCTAGGACTCGGGGTGGCACGGGTCTGCCAGGAACCATAAATCATCATCTAACGGATGCCCATCAGCTCTGCTGGGAACAGACCTCTACTCTCCACTCTGGCTAAAGAGACTGACCTCAGAGGCACTACCTAATTTCAAGATCACATGACTGCAGAGCAGCAGCAGTGGGGATCTGTCCACGTCCTCCTCCCTTCCTACCCAGCACGCCCCTGAGAGTCCTGTACCAGTTTCAGGGAAGGATGAAGGAAGAGCAGAGAAGCTAGATGGACCTGCCCATCCTCGCATCTGGAAGGAGGCAGGCTGGCACAGGTCCCCGATGAGCAGCGTGTGGTCCAAGAGGCTGAAGAAGGGATACTGCAACATTGACAGGAAAGCCAACTCCTGGCTCCGGGGCATGAACTGACAGGGCCCCCTGCTGCTCTGGCCACAGCCTCGTGGGGAGCCTGGGCTTGTTCCAGGACACAGTGGCCTGCGGGGCTGGTGGATGCACCAGAAGCTGGTCCCTACCAACAAATCTGCCATTCAGAGGCTCCTCAGGCAGCCAGCTCCAGGGCAGACGGATGACAGACAACTTTTCGCCATGCAGGTGCACGCGCGCGCGCACACACACGCACACACGCACACACACACAGGAAAAACAGGATCCTGTGACTGGCAGCACCCCCTCAGCTAACTAGCTTCTGAGTCCATCTTGATGCCTTTACATAAGCTGCATCAGCTGTTCCTGTGACGTCACACTAAATTCTGCAGGATGCACATAAAGAAGGCCCAAGTGCTTCTTGCATGTCTAATGTATTCACAGGAAGCCACCCCACACATCCATGTCTCTAAACTTGAGGTGTGGGTTTGGGGAGCAGGCCTCAGGGTCTCTTTCCCTTTGACCATTCACCCCAGTCACACAGAGCGCCACAGAGAAGCTCATCGGGGCCAGTTCAGACAAAGCAGCACAGAAAGGTCAGAGGAGGGAAGGGCAGCCTTCTACCCAAGATGACCTTGATTCTCAGATGACTCGAAAGCATCCTCTATCCAGACTCCAGCCTTTCCCTGTCCAGAAAGCAGTTGGTTTGATGTGTTTGTAGGGGGAAAATGTAAAAAGCCATTTGTCAAATGCATAGTGGGAAACACTTCTCCCCACCCTCCTGGAAGCCCGAGACATTTCACGACTCACAATAGAGGGGAAGCCACCATCAAAATGACTTGCTGTGTGTCCTTTGAAGTGTAGTAACTGCGGGACAAGTGACTATAAAACTCCCACAGTTGGGCGACTGGAGCCTATTCCTCTCAGTGAATTTCCAGAACCAAGTGCACTTGCTTAACCAGTCACGGGGCACTCAGAGCTGCAGCATTTTGTTTCCCGTTTCAGATCCGCTCACAACAAGTAACTTGTCCACGTCACGTCGGGCCATTTGGGGAGGGACTCTGCAGGCAGTAGACAGGACTGATGCCTGGGCTGTGGGTCCCCCATGTCGCTCTAAGGAGCAGGGCCCAGTGTCCACGCAGAAGAAGGGACCATTAACTAGACTCTTCTCTTCACCCCACCTTTCCCGCCCACCACCCGACCCCCACCTCCCTTCCTGATCCCCAGCTGGTGAATCCTCCAAAGCAGGGGACAACTCTCAGTGATCTTTCAGGTCCCTGGGCTCTCCAGTTTCCATACGGATAAAGGCCATGTGCATAGACACACATACACATAAGCCGTACTCATGTCTGCCACCAGCCAAACCGTCCTGAGGCCCAGCAAACACTAAGCGCATACACTGTAACAGGTGACCTTGGACAGAGGAGTGCGGACACTCATTTGTGTTCTTAGGGACCTTTAGGGATGGTATACGGCCAAGGGTCAATGTCTGTTGACTGAGTGGCATTCTTAAGACTCTGCCAGTAGCCGGTTCTCATGGTTCTCACTGCACAAAATGAAAGTAAGGGAAACTTCATTGGAATCTACCGCCTTTCAGGTGTTTCTTTTGGGAAGGCCAGATAATTAAAGTGATTTAAGTCCTCCGTTATAAAACCCTAGTTTTGCAGAAAACAAACTGGCCAAGATGATCTGTAACAAGTGTGATGAGGTTTTACTGTATTATAAAGAGAAGAGCCGACCTTGTCTTGCGGGTGTTGCTGATGTAACAGTCTGTAACCAGGCAGTCTAAACGTCCTAGGGCCTGGGTCTCTGCAGGAGGGGCTCAGTGCACACAGTGGCTGAGGTCGGCAGGGTGCAGGGCCCATGAGCACCAAAGCTGGAGGAAGAGGAAGTCCTCTGCTCCCCCCTTTAAAGGGGTGCCAAGGTCTCAGGACTGTTGCCTGTCTCGGGGGCAGCCTTCTGTAGGCAACATGGCAGGTATTCCTCTGGGGAGCCTGAGTCAGCATTATGTAAGGGAACCAGCCCACAAAGCCCCAGGAGTTCTCAGCTCATTTGAGGCCCTGGCAGGAATTTCCTGTTATGTGATCTGAGACTCCAAAGAGCCACCACTAACCCCAGCCTGTCTCTGCCCTCCTTCTGTGGGGGAAAACTCACGCTGAGTCACTAGATGCCAGGGCCAGCCACTCTCTAAGGACTTCTAGCTCCCGGCATTTGAGCCAGCATGAAGGCGCCCGGAACAAAGGGCCCCAGGAGCCCCGGGAGGAAGAATTCCAGGTCTTCCGGAGCAAACCTGACCAGAGCTGGCTTTGAGGGAGGCTGCCGATCAATCAGTCAGAGGTGGGGGTGGGGAGGGTGAGTCAACAACATGGAACACCAAAGGCTCAGCTGTGAAACTAGCTTCGGATCCAAACCTACTTCTGCTCGTCTTACCTCTTTCTCCCTCTTTGAACGTAACGTATGTGCAATACGTGCATAACCACTGCAGAGGTGGGGCAGGGGAGGCATAAAGCACCCCCCTCCCGCCCCCCCGCCCCCAAGACCGGTGCTGGCTTTGGAGAGCATCTCCTTGGTTCCTCCTGTGATTTTCAGCACCCGTGTTTGCCTCAGGAGCGTGCCATTTTGTTCTGCCTATCTCCATCTCCAGCTACTGTGTGTGTGTGTGTGTGTGTGTGTGTGTGTGTGTGTTTTACTGCTACATGGTACTCAATTGAGTGGATACATTTTATTTAGCCATTTTGCTGTCAAGAACATTGAAGCGGTGCAGAGAACACTCCTGAGCATGTCTCCCGGCTTCAGTTACAGGAACTTCTCTGTGATGCTGACAGAAAGTGCCTGTTTACCCTGATCAGCACATACCCATCTGTGTCCCGAGCTGCTGCTGCTGCTCCCTCTGCACTGTCCACCCACTCTCCTTAGGTGTGACAGAGCCGCTGTGACATGAGGTCAGTGAACACCCAGCTCTCCAGGCTGGAGGGGAAATCCTGACACCACTGTGAGAGAAAGTCTAGGCTTCTAACCCTGTGAGCTTAACCAGAGTCAACAACCTGAAAACTGGCCTTTAGAAGGAAAAGTCCCAGAATTCCCCACTCTTAAGAAGGCAGCCTCTCCAGCCCCAGGGCAGACCCCCTCCTCATCAGTGCCATCACCTGTCGGCCAGATGTGCAAACACGCTTCCAAGTACAGAAAGACCATGTGCTGCCGCACCCAAGCAGCCATGAGCGGGAAGAGAGAGGGCAGGATGGAGGGGTCCTCCGGCTGCAGCCTCCAGCAGCCAGCACCTACCTGTACACAGGCTGCATCTCTCTGGCTATGCCGATAACAGCCCCCGGCAGGAAGTTGTCAAACTCCTCGAACAGCTCTCGGATGTTGGTCTTATACTTCAGGTCAAGGTCCAGCTGGATGATCCGCAGGATCTCTGGAGGAGTAATTTCAAAAGAGGGCAGTGAGACTAGGTATGCTACCATACCTCTGCAATCCAGCTACTCACTTGGGAGGCTGGCAGGGGACTGGGATCTGAGGCAGTTTGGGATGCATAATGACCCTCACAAAATAAAAAATGACAGACACGGGCCCACATCCTGGGAGACTTGGCACTTAGCAGAGTGAAGAAGAGAACCCAGAAGGCCACCGGCTTGTTGTTGTAGTTGTTGGATGGTTCAAAGTCACTTTCAGCGACCAGAAGCCCTCTCTAAGGCAGCATCCATTCTGTTCAAGTCCAAGGGCCCATCTGCCCATCCAGCCTGCTGACTAGGTGTGTTTCACTCCCAAAGCGTCTGTCCCGGATGGCATGCACCATGGACACCCTGTGTAAAGCTACGGCATCCAGGTGATTTCACTTGGGGGCACAAGTGTCAAAGGCTGCCACACAAGAGGGATAAAAGATACTACCATCTCAGGCCTGGATACAGTGTGCTGCAAACTTCTGTGAGACTTCCCGGGAGAGAGAGACCTGGGCTAGGTCCTGAGCGTGGGCAGGAATGGGTGGGTGAAGTGAGGTCCATGCCCACCGTAGAGCTCTGGGCGCCTCCCCTTGCCCTCAGCCACCTTTCCTTGCCTGCTCAGCTGCAGGGCGTCACAGCTCTCTGAGGACACAGACCACCCCACCCCCTAGGTACTTTGGCCTCTATGAGTGGAGCAGGATCGGCAGTGGACCAACACTCAGAGGTGTTCGGGGAAGCATTGGCCATTCTCCAAGTTGGTTTATGGAGAAATCACAACTTCCGATGTGAGAAAAAAGGGTTCATTTGTTACTTGTTCTAATTTCCTTTGTGATGCAGAAACAAAGCCCTAATTGACATTCTATGTGACTTCCCTACAAGAGAAGAGTCAAAGCTACAACAGACGAGAATCCAGCTACTCAGGACAGAGCAAAGCCCGAGAGCAGGCTGTTCTGCCCTCTGCGGCAGAGGGCTGGGGAAGGAAGGTCTGCCCAGGCAAATAAGGACCCCAAGGCTGCCAGCACCACACTGCGACCCCCATAAGAAGTGTGAAGACACTCCAGTGTCCACAATGACAAAACCAAAGCCCAGAAGTCAGAGCTGACTGCTAATGACCCGGGAGTCTGTGTCTAGAAGCCTTAGCAGTGAGTCTGCTGGCCTTGGGACACGGCCCTAAGCCAAGGGGTGGAGAGGAGACCCAGGCCACAGGGGTCCTGCTGCTCTACAAGGCAGCCCAAGGACACAGGGGAAGGACACGGATGACAGGCAATGTTTGCCAGGAAACAATGTCTTAGGGTGAAAGTCACAGCCCCCAGGTTCTGACGTGGAGCTACCAGTGGTCGGCTGTCTGGACTTAGAGACACCCCAGACCACACACGTTTTCTCCAGCCGTTTCTCTTTTTGTCCACTGCCTGTGGCATGAGCATTCGCACCCAGATCTCAAGCAGCCCTTACATACAGGAAAGCAGAGACCTGGGGAGACAGACAGACACACTAGCATCTCCAGCAGTCAAGTCAGGTCCCCTGTGAATGATGGGGCGGGGACTAGGGCTTGGCCAGAGAGGCTGACAGGGCTGTGAAGGTAAGGAAGGTCTCAGCTTCACTTCCCCAGAGATTTCTGTCAACCACTAATGGGTAGAAGTCCCAGTTTTAGAAGAACTAGTATAGTTTTCCCCCCAAAGGAAGAAAACAAAGCCATTACAGTAACTTCACTGTACTCGAAACACTTCTGAGACAGAAGCCATTAGCATCAGTGCACAGGAAAGCCCATCCCTTGCTGTGTTCATCCTCTGGATGTCCGGGCATGACAGTCTTCGTGTTCTGCAGCAGCTCTGGGCAGGTCCTGGCGGGCAATCGTGGCCTCATCTATCCCGCACGGCCAACATCTCCAGCCATCCATCCATCACTGCCTCCTCCTAGAAGCACATCCCTAGAGGACGGTGTGCACATCCCTAGAGGACGGTGTGCACTAGGAGGGGGCACAGCAGACCTGGGATGATGCTTCTTTACTCAGAGGTTGTACTATCTCGGCAATGGTCCAATTTTAGTACTTACATTACTAAAGGACCACTGGAGAGACTTCCTCAAGAGCCCTTTCTCCCTCGCTGGTAGAGTTCCTGTCTTAAAGAGCCCTTCTATAACCTGAGCACTTTCCCTGCTCTTAGGGAATGGCTAGGAGGGGTCCAATGTAGCCCCACAATACAGAAATCTGAGATGCTGGAGCACGGATTATAACTCATTTGTAAAACACCTCTCAGAGAGACAGTGTTCCCCACGTCAGCCCTGCACGGAGAGCGGGTGCAGCTCACCATGGAGCCATCCTTCACCTGGGGGCAGAATGCCAGACCCAGGCTGGGCAAAGGACACCCCCATCTGTTCAGGGAGTCCACAGCTCTGGGCAGCCTGCACCGTCACATGGGCACCGACCAAAGGCCTTTCTTTTATAAAGTGAGGACACAAGATGCCAGTGTCACTGCTGAAGAGAGGCTGGTGCTTAGGAAGACCGCTGCAGCTCCTCAGACCTGCTCCCCAGACTCCGGTCTCGGCACAACCGTCTCTCTGTGGGAACTCCATCTGGGAAGTCGCATAGGAAACACAGAAGGCCTATGACAAGGGGAGGTTTCTATGTGGGGACAGCCTCAGTGACAACCTCAGGGAGATATGGTGGGGTGTGTGTGTGGGGGGGGGGGCAGACCACATAAAACTCAGGGCTAACTGAGATGATGGCCCCTGTTGTTGTTTGTTTTACTCTTTGGGGGGCTGCCACCCAGCTCCCAAATAAATCACATGGAGTCTTATTCTTAGTTATGAATGCTCACCTTAGCTTGGCTTGTTTCTTGCCAGCTTTTCTTAAATTATTCCGTCTATCTTTTGCCTCTGGGCTTTTACCTTTCTATATACCTTTCCTTACTTCTTACTCTGTGGCTTGCTGTGTGGCTGACCCCTGGACTCTTCCTCTCCTCTCTTTTCGCTCCTCACTTCCTCTCTTTTTCTTCTCCTTCTATTTATTCTCTCTGCCTGCCAGCCCAGCCTATCCTTTCTCCTGCCTCGTTCTTGGATGTTCAGCTCTTTATTAGACCATCAGGTGTTTTAGGCAGGCACAGTAACACAGCTTCACAGAGTTAAACAAATGTAACATGAACAAAAGTAACACACCTTGAAATAATATTCTACAACAGTCCCCAAATCAAAGACTAAATGAAAGCTGTGGTGCACGAGATAGGACCTTTGGAGAGAAGAGCTGGTGGGACGTCCCGTCCAAATACCGTGAGAAGACGACAAAAAGGAGGACAGATAATCTGAGATGACAGCCCTGGAGAGGAAGCCTCGTGGGATAATCTTTTTGTACACTGTGAAGTTGTCTTTGCCAAGGCGCCTTCTGATTGGTTTAATGAAGAGCTAAATGGCCAATAGCTAGGCAGGAGAGAATAGGCGGGTCTTGCAGGGAGAGAGAGGAACTCCGGATGAATCTAGGATTTCATCAGTAAGATGTGGAGGAGGAGACCTACGTCATGGACGAAAGGCAATGAGCCACGTGGCAGAATGTAGATTAATATGAACAGGTTAGTTAAGTTATAAGAGCTGGTTGTGAACAAGCCCAAGGTAAGGCCAAGCTTTGGTAATTCATAAAAAGTCTCCATGTCATTATTTGGGAGCTGGAGGTTCCCAAAGGAAAGTCTGACAAGCAAGTCCTACTACAAAGCCTGGTAATAACTGAGGTCAACCTACCCATTTTACAGCTCAGAAAAGTGAGGGCCATCAAGACAAGGGATATGTCAAGACACTCAAGCTAAGAAGCAAAGTTGATCCCAGAACTCAAATCCCTACCTCCCTCACTGACAGTCTCTGGTTATCTAATCTCATCCATCCTTTCCTAATGTGGGCCACAAAATCCTAGAGAGCAAAACAATGTATCATGGAGTATGCCCATTAGCCATAATCATGTAAATCTGAAGATGAACAGAAATGAGACCCTCATACTCCAACACGGCTCCAGCCAGCTTTCAGGGAAAGTCTCCACAGCCGCCATATCCTCTTGGCATCTGAGAAACCAGCAGTCTTTACATCCTTAGGAATATACCTGAGTTGTGATAAACTCAAAGGGAGGCAGAAGCCACACTGAACATTCTAGACCCAAGGATGCCCATGGAGACACCATCTCATTGCCAGGTGTGTGACCCCGGCACAGCCGGTAGAAAGTCACTTGCTGACCACACCCACCCACAGGCCCCTGCTGTAGTGACATGTACTTATACTGGAAAAGTATCTGTTTCTGCATCCAGTGAGCTGAGCCTTCCGGGCAGACCCCATGCTCACAGACCTGCCCATGGGAGCCACATTAGTAAAAACTCAGGCACTGATGTGCACCTGTGGCATTGCCTCCTTTTGGGGGGAGAGCAAAGTTCTCGGTGGCCCAGCATCTGAGGAGCACACCTGTACTGACTATTCTCCATGGCAGCTCCATGGTCGGCCACTGGCTGACCGGCCTCCTGGGGGAAGACAGAGCATGGAGGACTATCAGGCATGCCCACTGTGGGGTGCAGTCAGGGTGTCAGACAGTGGTCTTTATGGTGGGTGAGAGTCTGGTAAGCACTGAAGGATGTCAAGTCACAGTGGGAAGAGGGGAAGAATCTGGTGGGGTGTGGCGCTCTCCGGTGTGGGCTCCATGCTCACAGGGATATACCTGCTCATCTTCACTGTCCTGACTAGTCTCAGGCCAAAGAGATAGCTCTAACTAGAACCTGGCTCTCCTAAGCTTGGAAAAGGACAGATGGAGCACTCTGGCTACCAATGTGCCTTTCTAGACCTCTGTGACCCCACCACTACCATCACAGCTGGTCCTAGAGTCCTTCTCCAGAGATTCTGACTGTCTCTGGGCTTTGCAAGCCAATGCCTGCTGCTAGGGTTCAAGGCCAAGCCAGGCAAGGTGGGACTATGCCACAGAAGGCCTCAGTCATGACATCCAGACTGGCTGGGA